ATTGGCAGAGGAGGCCGCCAGGTTACGGGGGCCACTGGTCGAAGAGGGGGTGGAAGATGTAGAGGCACGGCGAGAGGTACTGGCGTGTGTTGCCAGTCCGGTCCGGCCTGTTCCTGATCCCCACGTAGGGCCAGTGGTGTGTGTTCCCAGTACGGTCCGGCCTGTTCCTGCCACTCGCACCAAGTCTACGGTGCGCATCGCCAGCTCGGCCCGGCCCATTCCTGTTCCCCGCACCAAGTCTGTGGTGCGTTTCGTCAGCCCTGTCCGGCCCGTTCCTGCTCTCCGCACCAAGTCTGTGGTGCGCGTCGCCAGCCCAGTCCGGCCCATTCCTGCTCCCCGCACCAAGTCTGTGGTGCGTTTCGTCAGCCCTGTCCGGCCCGGTCCTGCTCTCCGCACCAAGTCGGTGGTGCGCGTCGCCAGCCCAGTCCTGCCCATTCCTGCTCCCCGCACCAAGTCAGTGGTGCGTTTCGTCAGCCCTGTCCGGCCCGTTCCTGCTCCCCGCACCAAGTCAGTTGTGCGCGTCGTCAGCCCGGCACGGCCCGTTCCTGCTCCCCGCACCAAGTCAGTGGTGCGCTTCGTCAGCCCGGTTCGGCCCGCTCCTGCTCCCCGCACCAAGTCAGTGGTGCGTTTCGTCAGCCCGGCTCGGCCCGCTCCTGCTCCCCACACCAAGCCAGTGGTGTGCGTCGTCAGTCCGGCACGGCCCGTGCCTGTTCCACCGGTGGCGGGTCCGGCACCGGTCAGGTGCTGCGTCACGCCGGAGCTAGAGCAATCCGCTCCACCAGTGTTCAGTTCAGCTCTGGTCAGCAGGGCCAGACCGGACCAGGGGTACTTTGGGGGGTTAGAGAAGGAGTGGGGGTCAAGCCCGGAGCCAGAACCGCCACCGAGGAGGTATGCCCACCCAGCCCTCCCCTGTTTTGCTCTTTTTGAGGCGCGGTCGCAGTCCGCGCCTTTAGGGGGGGGTACTGTCACACCCTGGCTATGGGACTCTAGTTGTTGAGCCAGGGTGTGTTTGTTCTATGTGGTGTGTTTCTATGTTGGGGGTTCTAGTTCGTCTATTTCTATGTTTTGCCTGAGTGACTCCCAATCAGAGGCAACGAGTGTCAGCTGTTGGCTGGTTGTCTCTGATTGGGAGCCATATTTAAACTGTCTGTTTTCCCTTTGTGTTTATGGGTTTTTGTTCCGTGTTGGTATTTGTTACCGTTGGACGTTACGAGTCGTTTATTGTTTTGTTCGTGCTTTATTAAATAAAGTCTAACATGTTCGTTCAACACGCTGCGCATTGGTCTACTTCTCTCCCTGACGGTCGTGACACCCGCCCTCTTGTTATTCTCGGTTCTCTTCCTCACGAAGATACCTCTTTGCCTGCTTAACTGCTCACAAGTGAACTGTGAAGGATATTGCTGCTGAGCGTAGGTGTTCAGACCCTGTCGAGAAGTTGAGTTCTAACCGGAAGGTTTTTGCTTGCGTGTAGAAATGACTTTTCTACTTCTCAGTCTCCGTTGGTAGCTAGCAATTGAGACTTGGTGAGCCATGCTACAAGGCTTAAGCTAAGAAACAAGCTAACCTCAACACGGTAGAATTAATAGCTCCCTTCTCTCATCTAGTTTAACCTACGTACACCCATTGTGTTAACTAGCCTTCACGTTGCCATCGGTCGTGGGAGCATCACGATGCCATCGGTCGCGGGAGCACTCTTTCTGTAAGTGAACTCGGTCACACGGTTTCTTTCAACCAGCACTGAGCTAGTCACAGCATACCTTCACCACGAGGTCGCATTCACCATGAGGTCATTGCTAGCTAGCTAGCTAACAACCCACAAGCCTCGCTATATAGCGTTTTACGGTGCTCAATATTGGTAGCTGTTAGCTGCAATGCTCTTAACTAGCTAGCTTGGTATGCTGTTTACACAAGCCAGTATTTGCTAGCCACCAGCCGCAAGGCTTCTAACTAGCTAGCCTACGCCGTCTACACGTTGTTCTCACAACAGGCTTTGCTCGGTGCCCCTTGCAAGCCTTGTCCCTCGCAATGGCCACCGCTATCCCATCCCAGGACGAACCTATCCCAGCACGTGAATCCTCACGTTCTTGTGCTTGCGGCTCCCTGATTGTGGGGAAATATTACCACCCTCTATGCTACAGGAAAAAAAAGAGGACTGAGCACGCCCCCATTCTCATCGACGGGGCTGTAGTGGAACAGGTTGAGAGCTTCAAGTTCCTTGGTGTCCACATCACCAACGAACTATCATGGTCCAAACACACCAAGACAGTCGTGAAGAGGGCACGACAAAGCCTATTCCCCATCAGGAGACTGAAAATATTTGGCATGGGTCCTCAGATCCTCAAAAAAAATCTACAGCTGCACCATTCGAGAGCATCCTGACCGGTTGCATCACCGCCTGGCATGGCAACTGCTTGGCCTCCGACCGCAAGGCACTACAGAGGGTAGTGCGTACGGCCCAGTACATCACTGGGGCCAAGCTTCCTGCCATCCAGGACCTCTATACCAGGCGGTGTCAGAGGAAGGCCCTCAAAATTGTCAAAGACTTCAGCCACCCTAGTCATAGACTGTTCTCTCTGCTACCGCACGGCAAGCGGTACCGGAGTTCCAAGTCTAGGTCCAAAAGTCTTCTCAACAGACTCCTGAACAGCTAATCATGGCTACCCGGACTATTTGCACTGCCCCCCACCCCCACCCACACCCCCCACCCCATCTTTTTACGCTGTTGCTACTCTGTTAATTATTTATGCATAGTCACTTTAACTCTACCCACATGTACATATAACTTCAACTACCTCAACTAGCCGGTGCCCCCGCACATTGAATTTGTACCGGTACCCCCCTGTATATATAGCCTCCCTACTGTTATTTTATTTTACTTCTGCTCTTTTTTTCTCAACACTTTTTTGTTGTTGTTTTATTTTACTTTTTTTATAAAAAAGAAATGCACTGTTGGTTAAGGGCTGTAGGTAAGCATTTCACTGTAATGTCTGCACCTGTTGTATTCGGCGCATGTGGCCAATAAAATGTAATTTGATTTGATTTGATTTGATCAATTGCTTGGGTATGGAACATCCTCAGGAGGCGATCGAGGACCCAGAGTCCTGTGAGCACTGCTGACTGCTGATGAGCGCAGGCCTGAAGAAGAGGCTTAAATGTGATTCTATCTCGATAGCCCCTCTTGCCTCCGAGCCAACAGCGATAGATGAGGCTCAGCTCACCGCAACTGAGCCCAGTTAGGGTGAGGTTATGGATAGCCTCGACTCCCTCCCCTCCCTGTCTGACGACGTAGTGTCAGCGGAAGGTGAGTTAGGGGATGACGAGGATGACGGTGGGATTAATCTCACGGAGATCCTCAAGATTGCGTAGGAGATTGGTACTGACGACCCCGTTCTCCCACCCTTTCAGCTCTGCAGACCTGATGGCCCCGACAGCAGTGGCTCTGCCCTTCATGTCTGCATGCGGGCCGCGGCTGTTGGTTCCTGCATCTCGCCCCAGCCTCACAGCTGGGAGGAGGCAACAAGCTGGTTTTGCGGGACTGATTTTTCCGGCGACACAGCAGTCTGCCAAAACTCAGCCTGGGCCTGAACCAGGCCAAACCTGTAGGGAAGCAGTCTTACGCTGCAGCCGCAGCAAGGATCCGGCTCGCTATCCCTCCTAAAGGAGGTAAGAAGGGTCGGCCAACCTAGGGTGCAGCCCTGGTGGCTGAGTTGGATAGTGTGCATGGACAAGGGCTCTCTGCCCTACCCTCTCTCTTCGGGTTTAAAGGTTGCTACTCCTACGGTTGCTACTCCTACGGTTGCTACTCCTGCGGTTGCTACTCCTACGGTTGCTACTCCTTCGCAGTAGTGGGAAGGCAGGGCTGTATTAAGCCTAAACCCTACACACTTTTTGTTCCCTCCGAGTGCCTCCCTTCCTCAGGCTCTCCCCCCGGCGCCTTCTCAGGTTTTCAGCCAGGGGCAGAAGTCAGCATGTCAGCCATTCCTCCGGTCTCACCGACACCAGGAGCAGGACGGCTATCTGTATTTCGCCATCCACCGTGGCCCTTTTCTCCCTGCCTATGGTCTTTTTTCCTCTGACTGCAATGGCACGAGCTATCACAGTCAAGCCAGTTATGGTGTGCGGCGCTCCGGTTTTCCCACCAGAGGGCGCTGCTACTCTGTACGACAGGCAGGGGAACCCTAACCACTCCGCTCCCCCGTTCTACAGGAGGACAGGTTTCCAGGTTTCACTGGGAAATTCCCTCAGCCCTTTTTAGGATTCTGAAGGGCATTTTGTTCCTCTACTTAGCAAAGACAAATTGGCTCTGTTATAGAGAACAATCTCCATTGAGCAAGAGATCAGTCTGTATAGTTATGCCTTACTTTACTTTCTGGATCTTAGGGAAAAGGGGGGAGGGGAGTGGAGTTTATTTTACTGCAATTCATGCAACCGGTCTTCTGCCTGCTCTACCTCCCCATCTTAAGGGAGCGAGTGGCTGAGGAACTCTCCTTGCTCTTGACAACCATCCACCATGGAGCACTGCCAAGACAATGAAAAATTCACACCTGTCAGGTGGATGGGTTATCTTGACAAAGGATAAAATGCTCCCTAACAAATTTGTGCATAACATTTGAGAGAAATTAGCTTTTTGTGCGAATGGAATATTTCTGGGATCTTTTATTTCAGCACATGAAACATGGGACCAGCACTTTACATGTTGGGTTTATATTGTTGTTCAGTACAGTTGCTGTTTGTGGGAACTTAATCAGGTTAAGAATGAGTTGCTGTTTGTGGGAACTGTTTGCGGTAGCTGACTTAGGTGAGAGCAATGCACTAATTCCTAACCTGATTAAGACCTTTATTGTTTATTCACAATACATGGCCTATGAAGCATGTCTGGCCAATATGTTCTCTGTGTTCCTCTTTACTACTTTGCCCTTGTTGTTCTGGCATGTGATTGGTTTGTTGCCTCTGAGATGTGATTGGTTGCTGCCTCTCACACTCTGCTCACTAACACCACCATGTCTGTCATGATTACAGGGATGTGGGTCGTCGATGTGGTCATTGTTAGCACAACCATGGTGCTGGTCACTAGACTGTCTTACTGTAAAGCCATAGTTATTGACAGTTATTTCTGTGATCATTGGCCTTTGTACAGAATGGCCTGCAATGCCAATTCAGCCAATTCCATTATGGCAAAAGTGAATACAGAACCATTCCTTCACGTACCATTAGTTTATATAGTCCTGTCTTATGTGTGTGTTTTACTTACCCTGTATAAAAATGGCTAACTGAAGACTTGTATATCACACCTTCTAGTTGTAGTTATTTTATTTATTTCATTTGTATACATTGCTGCATTGACCTACTCTCTTCACCCCAATGCCAGGATTATCGGTTTGGCTCTAGCTTCGGCGATCCCTCCCATGCTGAATCCAGTCATTTATTTTTTGAATGCTGAGTAAATCAAATGGTTTTGAAGAAAATGCTCAAACAAAACACCTCTAGCATAATACTAATAAATGGATCACATACTGGTACAGTACACAGTACATTTATATATGATGCTATTCACCAGTGTATCTCCAGTGGTAATTGTACATGTTAGCATTCATCACTGTCATAACAGAGTTGCATGTTGTGTAACCAAAACTAATAAGTGAATCAGAGGCTGGATAATGTATGTTTTGGATGTATGATCATATATGGTAATGTATGTTTGGGATGTACGACAATTAATGATAATCTATGTTTTTGTATGTATGATAATGTACGACTATGTACAGTACCAGTCAAAAGTTTGGACACACCTACTCATTCAAAGGTTTTTCTTTATTTTTTACTATTTTCTACATTGTAAAATTCAAAAAAATAAATCACGGAAAAGTTGTGCGTGCATATGTATTCACCCCCTTTGCTATGAAGCCCCTAAATAAGATCTGGTGCAACCAATTACCTTCAGAAGTCACATAATTAGTTAAATAAAGTCCACCTGTGTGCAATCTAAGTGTCTGATCTGTCACATGATATCAGTACACAGTTTGTCTGTGTTTACATACACCTTAGCCAAATACATTTAAACTAAGTTTTTCACAATTCCTGACATTTAATCCTAGTAAAAATTCCCTGTCTTAGGTCAGTTAGGATCACCACTTTATTTTAAGAATGTGAAATGTCAGAATAATAGTAGAGAGAATTATTTATTTCAGCTTTTATTTCTTTCATCACATTCCCGGTGGGTCAGAAGTTTACATACACTCAATTAGTATTTGGTAGGATTGCCTTTAAATTGTTTAACTTGGGTCAAACGTTTCGGGTAGCCTTCCACAAGCTTCCCACAATAAGTTGGGTGAATTTTGGCCCATTCCTCCTGACAGAGCTGGTGAAACTGAGTCAGGTTTCCAGGCCTCCTTGCTCGCACACGCTTTTTCTGTTCTGCCCACACATTTTCTGTAGGATTGAGGTCAGGGCTTTGTGATGGCCACTCCAATGCCTTGACTTTGTTGTCATTAAGCCATTTTATCACAACTTTGGAAGTATGCTTGGGGTCATTGTTCATTTGGAAGACACATTTGCGACCAAGCTTTAACTTCCTGACTGATGTCTTTAGATGTTGCTTCAATATATCCACTTAATTTTCCTTCCTCATGATACCATCTATTTTGTGAAGTGCACCAGTCCCTCCTACAGCAAAGCACCCCCAAAGCATGATGCTGCCACCCCCGTGCTTCACGGTTGGGATGGTGTTCCTCGGCTTGCAAGCATTACCCTTTTTCCTCCAAACATAACGATGGTCATTATGGCCAAACAGTTCTATTTTTGTTTCATCAGACCACAGGACATTTCTCCAGAAAGTACGATCTTTGTCCCCATGTGCAGTTCCAAACCGTAGTCTGGCTTTTTTATGGCGGTTTTGGCCTTGCTGAGCGGCCTTTCAGGTTATGTCGATATAGAACTAATTTTACTGTGGATATAGATACTTTTGCACCTGTTTCCTCCAGCATCTTTACAAGGTCCTTTGCTGTTGTTCTGGGATAGATTTGCACTTTTCACATCAAAATACGTTCATCTCTAGGAGACAGAACGTGTCTCCTTCAAATCAAATTTTATTTGCCAAATGCGCCGAATATAACAGGTGTAGACATTACAGTGAAATGCTTCCTGACAAGCCCTTAACCAACAATGCATATTTTTTTATATAAAAAAGTAAAATACAAAAAAGTGTTAAGTAAAAAACTAAAAGCAAATAACTAAAGAGCAGCAGTAAAATAAAATAACAGTAGGGAGGCTATATACAGGGGTGTATCGGTGCAGAGTAAATGTGCGGGGGCACCGGCTAGTCGAGGTAATTGAGCGGTATGACGGCTGCGTGGTCCCATGTTGTTTATACTTGCTTACTATTGTTTGTACAGATGAACGTGGTACCTTCAGGCATTTGGAAATTGCTTCCAACGATGAACCAGACTTGTGGAGGTCTACAATGTTTTTTCTGAGGTCTTGGCTGATTTCTTTTGATTTTCCCATGATGTCAAGCAAAGAGGCACTGAGTTTGAAGGTAGGCCTTGAAATACATCCACAGGTACACCTCCAATTGACTCAAATAATGTCAATTAGCCTATCAGAAGCTTCTAAAGCCATGACATCATTTTCTGGAATTTTCCAAGCTGTTTAAAGGCGCAGTCAACTTAGTGTATGTAAACTTCTGACCCACTGGAATTGTGATACAGTGAATTATAAGTGAAATAATCTGTCTGTATACAATTGTTGGAAAAATTACTTGTGTCATTCACAAAGTAGATGTCCTAACCGACTTGCCAAAACTATAGTTTGTTAACAAGCAATTTGTGGAGTGGTTGAAAAACGAGTTTTAATGACTCCAACATAAGTGTATGTAAACTTCCAACTTCAACTGTATATATGTATGCATGTATGTGTATGTATGTCTATATATATATATATATGAGCTCCTGAGTGGCGCAGTGCTAACTGTGCCACTAGAGATCCTGGTTCGAATCCAGGCTCTGTCGCAGCCGGCCGCGACCGGGAGACTCATGGGCGCGGCCTGTAAATCACTAACTGTAAGTCGCTCTGGATAAGAGCGTCTGCTAAATGACTAAAATGTAAATGTAATATATATATATATTTGCGGGGAAAAAACAACATATGGGGGATTGGAAGTGATGCAGACAATTGCATTGATGGAAGTTACAATCTATCTGCAATATTAAAGCTCTTCTACCCCCTAAAAAAAATAAAAGAGACCTAGAGAACCTTGGGCTCAAATAGGACTGGCCAATGGTATGGAACAATATTTCTTCTTCATCTAAAAACGTTTCCCATCAGCTGGACCTATTTCACTCCTGAGTGTAAATTTTAAACTCCATGTTACAAATGCTCTTGTTCTGAAATAGGACACTTTCTGCATATGTTTTGGCACTGTCTAACTGTGGATCTCGTTGGAAACATGTCTTTGACGTTTTAGGAAAAATCCTAAATAAGATCCTTCCAATATGCCCTGCTCTAATGCTGTGTCCCCAAACGTGTAACTACACTGCTCTTTGTAGTAGTTCTGTTTATTCACCACAGAAGACAAGAACTGCAGCACTTTGTGTTTTGTTTTTTCTTTTAGATCCTTTAATTGATTTATTTTATTTTGATGTTTTGCCCCCTGCATACTGCTTGTATGTTACCTTATACTAAATATATTAAAAATAAATAAATAATTATTCACAAAAATATATATAAATTGTAGTGATTATAATGCCTATACATGCTTACGAATGCTTAAAAATGTTTACAAATATGTATTCATTAAATGTGTATAGATAATGTATGAATTCTTATTTATGAAATGTATTATAAAGTGTTACTCATTTTACCTGTGAACAGAGCCCTACAGTATGGCTCTGCCTGTGAATATGTGTTAGTGCCATCTACTGGAACTAATGAATGTAAGTTATTTGATTAGAGTTTAACTCTTTCAACGTAAATACCATATCTAGATACTTTGCATTTAAAACTTTACCTCTATACCATAATTGTATGTGATGATCACTGTATGTGACAAATACCTGTACCCACTTATCATGCCCTGCACTGTCAGTTATCAGAATGATTTTACCTGGATATGCTGTACCTTTCTGTTAACAGCTCTATGGTGGTTGCAACATTAATCCTTCCAATAATTAATGTTATTATAATATATAAACACTCCATATTACAGCTGTGGTATATAAACATACATCTGAAAAGCACAAAAAAAAATACATATTTGAAATGAGAAGTTAGAATTGTATTTATTTACCACAATAAAGTATGTTAAATATATTATATGCAAATATGAAGTGTTCAACAGAAGAATAGACAGAAATTGTTTTATTGCAATTATCTTAAGAGTTGGAGTGTTTATAAAACAGTATCAACAAAAAAAATGCTGAAATTAAATAGATACAAAATGTAAGGGGTATGTTGCCTAACTTGGAAACATTTCTTATATCTAGAGTTCTTGAGTTTTTGCTGCAGATTTGAATCCAAACTAAAGATCTGAAAACATAAGATCAACAACTCCACGTAAGGTCTCATTGGTGAGGAGTAACTTTTGTCTTTATGAACAGTTTGACGATTTTCTCCCGCAGTTCCTCTGTCTTTAGGCTGTAGATGATAGGGTTGAGCATGGGTGGCAGGGTAACAGACACAGTGAGGATGGCAGTCAGGAGGTCTGAGGACTGCACCAAGCGCAGGTTACCTAGGAGGGAGGGGACAAACATACACACATCCAGTGGCTTTGAGAAGATTATGAATATTATTAACAGTAAATGATCATATTCAGCAAAAAATAACAAGGAAATTGTGCACTGCGAAATGCTGTATGCTCCCACGTGTCATCTTTTCTTTATTGCATTATTCCCACGTACCTGCAACGAGATAACTCAGATGTGCGGCAGGTAGCCTAGCGGTTAAGAGTTTTGGGCCAGTAACTGAAAGGTTGCTGGTTTGAATCCCCCGAGCTGACTAGGTGAAAAATCTGTCAATGTGCCCTTGAGCAAGGCACTTAGCATCTACTAAAATGCAATGTGCGAGTGCTATTTTGAATTACAATTTCTACAGTACAATATACACACACTTGGGGGCAAATTGTTTCAGAGTCCTCCGTTATACCTGTCCTACACTTAGGGAGCATACAGTTTCCATCAGGTATAAAAGGTGTGGCGAAGAGCACACTAACATTTCGCTGAACCTTTTATACCTGCTGGAAACTGTGAATGTGACGAATACATTTGATTTGATTTCGAAGTGTACAGTCATCCCTGTGTTTACCTAGGACGTAGGCCAGGATGACAGGGAGGTAGTACACCAGGACCAGCAGCAGGTGGGTGAGACAGGTGTGGAAGGCTTTGCCCCGCTGGGTGGTCGAGGCAATCTTCATCACTGCCACCACCACCACAGCATAGGTGAAGATGATGAAGAACAAGGGGCCTAACAGGACAGCCAGAGTTTTCGCTGTCGCTAGTTTCCTGTTGAAAGAGATGTCAGAGCAGGCCAGTCTGTATACAGGGCCGTGCTCACAGCAGCAGCTCCGCACCACCCTGGAGGCACAGTAAGACAGCCTAGAGGCCAGGGCGACAGGGAAGACCTCCAGGAAGAAGGCCAGGGTCCAGATCCCTAGCAGGATGAGCAGCATCCTCAGGTTGGTGTTGATAGTGAGGTAACGCAGAGGGAAACAGATGGCTATCACACGATCGTACGCTAAGAGAGCCAGGGAGAAGGACTCCATGTCACCAAATAAATGCATGAAGAACATCTGAGAAAAACAGGTCCCAAAGGAGACATAGTTCAGATTGAACACAAACACCGGCACCATCTGGGGGATGATAACACTGTTCAAAGAGATGTCCACCACGGCTAAATTGCACACTGCAATATATTTTGGATTTTGAAGGCTTGGGTTCATAATGAAGACTGCTAACAGAACAAAGTTACCCATTAGAGTGATTATGTATATTATAGATAGAGCTAGGATGAGGTAGTTCTTATTGCCCAGTGTGTGGAAAGCTGTGATGTAGAATCCATCATCTGATGATTCCGTTCCATTGTAAAGGAGCACAGAAAAACCCATTTGAGGGGCCTCTGTGTGTCTGTAAAAGAAAACATACAGATTACTGAAATGGAAAATCTATCAAAATCCATACATTTTCCGAAGATACAAAATTAAGTTCTAAACCAAACATTCACCAAGGCAAGACCATCTCAAACTAAATAACCTTCCTGGTCATTTTACACCTTCCTGAAACTATTTTACAATAATACTGAACACCAATTGTACCTCTGCTTTTAACAACGTTTTGTAAGCAGTCTCTGTGTGAATTGAAGGACAATTAGACAAATCCACCGTTATAAAGAGTTGTGGTAAAGAATGTAATCGTCATTTGGGTTTAATTAAAGTGAGAAAACAAGTACATATTTATGTACTAACAACTCATTAAAGGTAATGTTGTTAATAGATGAGGACCTAATTATTGCAATCTTATTTGATCATATCAGGGCCTAATGATCTCTTTTGACTAATGTTTACACTCATTAGCTTCTCTGTTATTATGACAACAACAATTAAGGATCATCTAGTGGAAACCGATCAGTTCTACCTCCCAGGGAAAGGTTCATGTTCAATAAACGCCAACCTGCGCCTTTTGCTCTGGCCTTCCCATTTGACTTTTCTACCTCTTGCTCTGATCTCCCTGTAAGAACATTTCATTGTCTTCTAAACCCATACCCTATCCCTGACCTTTGGAAGCACATTTTTGGATTCAAAAAATTGATGTGTGCACTTACAACACAAATGTCTGAGTTGATCAAACAACCAGTTAAAATACTGTGTTGGCTTAAAATACATCTGTTCTCCATAACCCATAAGTTGTATTTTACTTTTACTTTTATTCAATGTACTTGTCAGGGACCAGTTTACAACTTAAACATATATTTCAGAGGCTGAAGTATAATGCATTAAACCAGATGTAGCAACAAAGTACAGTGCCTTCAGAAAGTATTCATACCCCTTGATTTATTCCACATTTTGTTGTGTTACAGCCTGAATTCAAAATGGATTAAATTGTAATTTTTTTCTATACCATCTACATACAATATCCCATAATGACAAAGTAATAACATGTTTTTAGAAATGTTTGCAAATTGATTGAAAATTAAATAGAGAAAACTCTAATTTATATAAGTATTCACACCCCTGAGTCAATACTTTGTAGAAGCACATTTGGCAGCAATCATAGCTGTGACTTTGTTCAACACTGGATTGTGCAACATTTGCCCATGATTATTTTCTAAATTCTTCAAGCTATGTAAAAAAATTAAAAATAATTTGGATCAGCTTTAATATTGCAGATAGATTGCAACTTCCATTAATGTAATTGTCTGCATCACTTCCAATCCCCCATATGTTTTTTTTCTTTCGCAAATATATATATATATATGGTGTTTCCCAGATTTTCCATAGTGTTCTATTGTTTCCAGTACTTGCCTTATATTATCTCCAATGTATCTTCCATGTAAAAAACCTGTCTGATTTGAATGAATAATATCCGACAATACCTTTTTAATTCTATGCGCTATACATTTTGCTAGAAGTTTTGCATCACAACACTGAAGTGTAAGGGAACTCAAATGTTTTAAATGGACTGGATCTTTATATTCTCCATCTCTTTATTGAGTGTTCTTCAGCTCTCCTCACAGTCAGCACACCCGGACCACTGTGAACACTGGTCTCAGACCTACATCTGTATCTACACAGGGGCGGCCTGTTCAATAGGGCGATATGGGCGACACACTGCCAAACGGGAAAAGGAAGGGATTTTTTTTCTAATCAATTATATCACGGCAACAGTAGTTATCAGTGTTGTAATCTAGACGTCTGGTCTGATCTGCCACTAAATGTCCAATCAGGCTAAAGTCGTGCTTCAAATGGCCCCCCCCCCTTTTGGGGCGATTTCAGTCAGGTTGAAAATCGCCCAGAAGTCTGTCATAGACTCCCATGTAAAATCTATTTTTTTCAAATATCAGAGCTTTCAATACAATCTCTATGGGTTTCTGAGGGCTTGCACTTACGCGCTTTCGTCATACGTAACGTAACCATGAACGTAACTAAGAAAAGAGCGGGTAGCAGCGTCAATCAATTCACGTACTACTGGTAAGATTGCTATAGCGTTCAGTGCAACTCGATTGTCTCTTTGAAATAAGTTACTTTTTGTCGGCGAACAAATCAAGATAAATTGGCAACGAAACAATTAGGACCTCCCAGACCAAATTTAATAATTCAACAGGTTTCTACTAAAGGCGGAAAGTCCTACACCCGAGGATTTTCCAAAAATTAGTACGAACGAAAAACCTGGCTAGCAGGCTACGATGTAGCTAATGCAGTCTTCTGCTACCCCCCACTCTTTCACCCTGAAGGCGGCACGGCAGACAGCACCGCTTGGACAGCGACTGGTGTGTAACGGACATGCACCATCTTTCAGGAAAGATTAAGAAACATGAGCTGTCAAAGACCCACATGGATAGCTGTTTGAGATGGTCTGCTTTGGGGAGTGAACATTGCCACTCAACTGGATGAGGGATACAGGCTAGCTGTCCGCCGCCACAATGATGAGGTTAGTGTTGATAATCACAAGTTTACTGGAGAACTGAGACCAAGTAGAGACTTTGGACAGGGTGGATATGGTATAATAAAGGCAGTTTATTCAGAGGTAAAGATATCTGGAATCACGTGCACGGACCCGTTCGTTATCTGAAGACAATGTTTCATTGTGTGCAGACATTTTATGCAATAAATGAAGTAAGTTGAATCTAGTAGTTCTGATCTTCTGATTGGTCCTGATGAGTTGGGCGAGGTCACCTCCAGGCTAGTGTCACTGTTGCATTGGCTCTGAGTCGGGTTCTCTGTCTTCAAATGTTCAGCCTAAGAGAGAGGATTTGTGTGTGTGTGTGTGTGTGTGTGTGTGTTTAACAGTGATGATGTGTGTGTGTGTGTGTGTGTGTTTAACAGTGATGATGTGTGTGTGTGTGTGTTTGTGTGTGTGTGTGTGTGTGTGTGTCCTCAGAGCAAGAACTCGTGAGTTGGAAGAACTGAGAGGCCTATGGCGTGGGTGTTGTCCTTGGCCACCTGCTGACAAGGCTGACAAGATAGGACCCTTTTGTCCATTGTTATTGGATAGGAACAGAACTTATAACCAGCTCCTGACCTAAATAGATCTTAGCACAACATTTTACTCAACATATCATATTCCATATTCACTATAACAAATATATTTACTACGACATTAGCAAGAACCGCCACATCCTCAGCCGGCTAATCCAGTGTGTGAAGTTTTGCGGAGTGTTTGAGTTAGCTTTGCGAGGCAAAGATGAAACTGAGGGCTCCACCAACCCTGGTAAGCCAACACTTTTGAGATCAGTCAATAAATGCTTCTGGTATTGACTTATATGCTGCCCCTGTCTTCATGTTGTTGCTGGACATATCTTTTTTAAAATGTGTGTAGGTCACCTAAATCATCAGAAAAATTGCCCCCCCTGAGAATTCTTTCAGGAGCCGCCACTGCATCTACATACAATTGCCTCATACCCCTGCACATCAACTCGGTACTGATACCCCGTGCCAAGCTATCGTTTCTCATTGTGGATTTATTACTTGTGTTATTATTAATTTTGTCTATCATTTCTCTATTTTTATCTCTGCATTGCTGGGAAGGGCCCGTAACAAAGCATTTTACCAATAGTCTACACCTGTTTTGTAAGAAGCATGTGAAAAATAAAATTTGATTTGAGTCCTTGGTAGGTGGAAGGGTCAGATACAGTTGAAGTCGGAAGTTTGCATACACTTAAGTTGGAGTCATTAAAACTAGTTTTTCAACCATTATTTCACTTATAATTCACTGTATCACAATTCCAGTGGGTCAGAAGTTTACATACACTAAGTTGACTGTGCCTTTAAACAGCTTCTGATAGGCTAATTGACATTATTTGAGTCAGTTGGAGGTGTACCTGTGGATGTATTTCAAGGCCTACCTTCAAACTGAGTGCCTCTTTGCTTGACATCATGAACGTAGTTTGGTGCAAAAAAGTGCAAATCAATTCCAGAACAACAGCAAAGGACCTTGTGAAGATACTGGAGGAAACAGGTACAAAAGTATCTATATTCACAGTAAAACAAGTCCTATATCGACATAAACTGAAAGGCAGCTCAGCAAGGAAGAAGCCACTGCTCCAAAACCGCCATATAAAAGCCAGACTACGGTTTGCAACTGCACATGGGGACAAATATCTTACTTTTTGGAGAAATGTCCTCTGGTCTGATGAAACAAAAATATAACTGTTTGGCCATAATGACCATCGTTATGTTTGGAGGAAAAAGGGGATAGCTTGCAAGCAGAAGAACACCATCCCAACCGTGAAGCACTGTGGGGGTGCTTTGCTGCAGGAGGGACTGGTGCACTTCACAAAATAGATGGCATCACGAGGAAGGCAAATTATGTGGATATATTGAAGCAACATCTCAAGACATCAGTCAGGAAGTTAAAGCTTGGTCGCAAATGACCCCAAGCATTCTTCCAAAGTTGTGGCAAAATGGCTTAAGGACAACAAAGTCAAGGTATTAGAGTGGCCATCACAAATCCCTGACCTCAATCCTATAGAAAATATGTGGGCAGAACTGAAAAAGCGTGTGCGAGCAAGGAGCCCTACAAACCTGACTCAGTTGCACCAGCTCTGTCAGGATGTCAGAGTGTCAGTGTGATGCGGTAGGACGAAGTCAGGCACAGGACACAGAGCTAATCGAAAATGTACTTTACTCGTAGGTAATGTCAAATAAACATAACCTCCACGCAGGGAGGAAACAAACCCACTCACCAGACGACAACCAAACATGAACAAACACGCACAACATACAGTGGGAGCCAGAGGGTTAAAAAGGGAAGTAATCAATACCTAATGGGAACCAGGTGTGAACAATAAAGACAAGAAACATAGATCGGTAGCAGCTAGTACTCCGGTGACGACGAACGCCGAAGCCTGCCCGAGCAAGGAGGAGGAGCAGCCTCGGCTGAATCCGTGACACAGGAGGAATGGGCCAAAA